GAACTCCCAAGCATAGCAAATGAGACGGATCCGACAGCATTCAGTTTGGTCGTCAGTAACTCTAATCCTTCCTGCCAAGTTAATTTTTGGCCACTTCGGGCCTTGCATCACCGTACACCTGGCAAACAAAACAATGGCCTCCTCGGTAAGTGGGGACCGGACATACGAAATGCGTGCCCAAGCCAACGCAACTTATCCAGTGCAATCCGTTGTCCCAAGGAGATAGCTTGGGTACCATTGCCTGGCACTCGCCTACTCACATCATCGTTGCGGACACGCTGGTGTTATCCGACATCAGCAATGCTTCGCAGATAACGATGATCAAGAACTTGAGGGCGCCGCAGGTCATCAGATCGAAGGAGCCAAGTTTCACCGCCATAAAGTGGGACGGCTCTCACCTTGGCCTTGTAAACAGTGATCTAGACTGAGGGAAACCCTTTTCTGACGCCACAGGTGTCGCAGATTCAAGAAGACAGTTCTGGCTTTTGCAATACATCAGCAGCTATGCATCAATTGTTGCTAATGCAGCTGCCAAGGTAAGTGAATTGATCAAGTACCGCGGGTTCCTCGCAATCAAGGGTCAAGTGGTTGGTGGTCATGTAACAACATTGAACTTTGAAGGTGCGAAGCGCATACAAAATAATGGGATCAATCATTAGAGGTTATTCAGCGTTGATTGGGTTGCTCCGACTTTGATAAACAGCAAAACAACATAGTCCGCACAAGTAAAATCAAATAGCCACTCACCGGGAAGCATCTCAACACCTGAATCGTGAGATTCCGAAGAGAACAAACCATGATGGAGTTCGCGCAGAAACTGAACAAAAATGGGACAATCTTGAGGAACGCCACTTATTATCCGCAAAATATCCGAGAAATCCCCGCAGACCCTGACGCAGTCTGTCGTGTTCGAGTATAGAGCATGCACAATGTTCATATATTTCATGGGAACACATTTAAGCGCATGTATTTCGAACGGAATGCATTGATCGACTGAGTCGAATACACTTTTGAAATCGAAGAATGCAACTATTATCGGTCTATGGTACATATGGCGCTGTTCTACAAACTGCCGCAGTGAATTTGTGGTCTAGACAGCCCCGTCCAAGACGGAAACCTGCTTGTTCTTTCATAATCCGGGATTCCCGTTCGGCAGTGAGGAGACGAACCAGAATCGTCGCAACTGAGGTTAGGCTAAAACCCCTGTATTTAGCACAATCGGTGGGACTGCCGTTCTTGTATGTTGCCACTATAATCGATTCACTCGTTAGTCGGAATGGTCTTCTCCTACCAGATATCTTCGAACAGGGTGGTCAGTGCTTTGCAGAGGACCTCACCACTACCCTTAAATAGTGCGGGTGCGAAGGAGCATGAGCCAGCAGCACGAAAACGATTAAGGAGTGCGATCGTGTTACAGACCTCAGCCTCCGTTCTTGCGTCAGCCTGCAGCATCAGAATAGGAAGAGTTCCAGCAGGAGGACAACTGAACTGCTCTCGAAAGTGCTAGGCCCAATGAGACAAACGGCACTCATTATTGTGAATCCCAGCACCAGCGCTGTCTGTTTGTCGCACTGACGCCCAGTTTCCTGGGACCAGTAGCGCGGATCAGCTGGAAGAGCTTGCGATAATTGCCAACTGCTCTTGCCACCCACCATTTCTTGAGCCATACTAGTCCAACAAGCTTACTTGTTGGCGCGCAGGCTCCGCTTTAGTTCGCGCCTAGTAGTCCGTCTGGTTACATTGTGCTCAGAGCCAGCCGGGAGGTTTCTTCTGAATTCAAACAAGTTCACCGACCTCACGGGTATTCAGTGGCCGATGCGGTGATGATGGATAGTACCATAAGCAGATGCTACTACGTCGTGCGTGGCGGCCGAGATCTTATTCCACTGAAGCTCAGCGTACGTTGTGGATTCTGGTAGGCTTGCCTGACCGAGGGCTGAGTTGCCAATCGAGGAAGATGCTTGATGCGACTCCCGGTAAAGTTAATGGAAAAGCAACAGCGTACAAAGACACGATCAGAGTCGACGCAGGTTTTCCGAACCAGCGCAATTCAGAATGGAATAACGCCATCTGTAACTTTTGGCAATGTGATCTATCTGGATCCACCGCTGATCAGCTATAGGACGGCAAGTGGCACTTCAGCGCCCACTGTGTCTAAAGGCGGTGCTACTAAGAAACGGACAGTGCTCTGCACACAGCTGTAACAGACGCTCACCGTTGTCCGTACTGTCGGATTTAAACCCATACTTCGGAAGAGCTCAGAGGACCCACTTGTGCACACATATCCCCTGCAAGAACTATGATATCTGAACTGGTAACACTGCGTAGTAGGGTGTTCAGATCGTCGTAGAATGTGTTCTTGGCAGCATCAGCATTGCAGTCGGTGGAAACCACAAACAAACGGTCTAGTGCCATTTCGTGAACCAACCTTAGCTGTTGTCGTTGAAGGGACTGCACATAAACGGCTGTTCAGGGGAATCCAATCAACCAACGGTGACGTAGCCTTGGAATTGAGTACGATACCTGCTCCATCTTAACCAGAGGCTGCTGCATCAGCGTCTGCGTACAACCAATAGCGGGAGGAAAAACCGGGCGCAGTTAATTCAACAACCTCGTGAGGAGCAATGATCCTGGTTCCGGATATGCAACACACGTCAATACCCAGTGTGTCCAAGGTGCGTGCGAGTACAGCCTGTTAATTTATTTGTCTTAAAGTGCGAACGTTGAGCGCCACAAGGGAAACGGGACAGCGTAGCCTTATAAGCTGTTGGTGATTGATGTCCAGCGGATGGTGCAGGAAGACGGCTGCAGATGGTGTGACTCCAGTGGCATTGCGGTTGCTAACAAATAAACTGGGAAGGAGAGTTTGTAATGGGGATTAGGAGAGGAGTAGGAGGTGAAAAAATGAAAAAGGGAGATATCAGCAGCAACATGTTTTCGCTGATCCGTCCTACTGTACGCAGCAGATAAGATGACCCTTGATAAGCTGCATGACGGCCGATGCAGGAAGTGGTGAAAATTTAAAGAACTAGTCATGGTTGTACTTGGATTGAGATACTGCCGAGGCGCCCAGACCGAGGAAGGAGGACGATTAAGGTCCTCAACCAGAGCTTTTGGCTTAAAAGCCTGTCCACAAGAAAGCGGAGGTGGCAAGGATTCAGTTGTACAGAAATGGGCGTAATCCTGTTGCAAACCTCCAGCCTGGAGGGCTAGGAGACTGAGTTCGTCTGAACTCTAATCATTGACCAACCTGGTAGGAGTAGCTCTCAAGGGGCTCAAACCAATATAGCTCAATGCGCCGACGAGGAACGAAAACCGTCACACCTCGTCTCGTCGCAAGAAATAAACGAGCATCTACACACAAATGAAGTAGCCGCTCACAGTTATTATTAGGGGAGTATAAACCATGTTAGTCACTCAGATGCAGTTCACCAGTGGACGATTTTCCAAGTTTGGCGTTCAGACCCCCAGCTAGCACTACAATGCCCGTGTTTCTTCTGCGACGAAGAAGCGCGTTCAGCTGGCGATAGAAGTCGTCTTTTACCGAGTTATCGCTACAGATGACAATAGACACCTATTAGCCTCGCGTGACATTCAAGCTCCGAATGAAACAGCCAGTCGGACGGCAAATCCGGCTACGGATTGGGATCCAATCAACCAGAGCAGCTTCAGCCCGGCGACTTAGGACAATACCTACACCGGCTTGGTCAGCACTCGGAACTGCATCGCATCCGGATAGACGGAATGAGAAAGCACTGCTAGTGTCACTTGGAGGGGATCACAAAACGAGCACAGAGTTCGAGTTCTACAGGCGAGTTTCCAATAAGTAGCAGATATCGATCGAGAGGGTCACTAATTTTTGAACAAGTGCTGCATGTTGACCGATCTGTGACAATGTGCGTGTGTTGAGGCATACAAATCCGAAAGACGATCAAGAGCTCTAAATAGAAGCCGATGAACTGACGTTGTCCGCATGGTTAGACATAAGCTTGTTGATAGTGCAGGAGTGACGTTCCGCGTTCGCATGTGAGCTAAAAAGAAGACAAACGCTTATCAAAATGTACGGAGAGTCGAGAATTGGCGGGTTGAAAATGGGAGGGATAGAAGTGAAGTTAGAACGGGACGATGGGGGTAAAAAGCAAGATAGGCAAGGCTTGGGCAGTAGCATCCAAACTGTTATCAACCTTGGTCGAAGCAGGGCGCCCGGTCAAGCATGAGCGCGGATTGACCATATATATGGTAGGCGGCATCCGGTTTCGGATTTGCCTATCACTGTGGCCAGCCACAGGACGCCTGCGTCTACAGAGGGACCATGGATGGCTTGCGCTGCACCACCCACAGCTCCAACCACACACCCCATATCTAGTGTAAACCCGAAGGAATAAGACCGGGAGGCATGTGGATGGGAGCCACGTTTCATCAACGGATCCGGCCTACACTCCTTCACAGGCAAACACAAGCACGCTGTATTTGGGAATCAAGCGCACACAAGGCGGTGGCTGGACCGTAGTCCGCTCTACACTGAGTGCATGGAACCACTCTTTGATCCTAACACGGCCACAAGAACCGTGCACCCCGTCCCCTCCAGCAACGACCAACTGTCTCCTAGAGCGAGTATGGACGAGGTAGTGGGTAATAGACAGGTAGGCACCTTGTCAACGTGCACTTCAAGCGCAACCACACCGGGGATATATATATATATATATATATATATATATATATATATATAGTTTTTTGCTGAGATGTGGCAAGGTAATCAAGTAGATACCGGAGATAAATATAGTGTGAAACAAGGCTAAACGATGTGCCAGCATGAACGGGTAAATAGACACTGAATACAAAATAGGCGAAAGAAAAAAACGTTCACGAAGTTCACGAGAATATTAAGATGGTCACAAAGATTAACGAAATATAATTTCGTTAGACAAATTAAAGCAATCAGGTGATGGCTGCAGGAACAGTTTTAGAAAACTTTTTATGAAAATAGGAGATCCACCAACCTTCAACCAAATTCCTGAAAACTCTAAAATCGATGACAATCTGGCACACAATGCCAAAGAGGTCAGCTGAGTAAGAAAGCGCATATTGTATGGAGATAGATCTTTTTCGACTGGAAAAAGCTCAAAAAATACACGGCACTTGAGTTCTTCGTCCGATTTTGTAGACATGTATGAAGCAAAAGTGTCCAGTAGTTCCATTTCCTCTAAGATATTTGGCTTCTAGTGTACAACAGAAGATAAGAAAAGGAAAATTACCCTGCCGTTGTTCAGAAATATGTCACTGTAAGCGAACTTAGGGGCCGATTCACACTTGGTATGGTCTTCCCTAAGGTTTGCTTCAAGTAGTTTTAGGGAAGATCGGAGGCGATCGGAACAAGACATCATCGTAAATCACGAGACAGGTGGCCACAATTCGGAGGGAATCGGAAGGTAACGGAGATGAAGTCACTAATAGAGAGGTATTTACAGGAGATATACGTATGCTGTAAACGAAGAATGAAAAGGTCAGTTATAAAGGGGTCTTCCGAGATGCACAGATCATACGGAAAATCTAGCTACAGAACACGACTGTACTAGGAGAAAGAACAGTTAGTTGATGACCAGGAAAAGTGATTTGCGTGAACTAAGTGAGCTTACATCTAGCCGAATAAATAAATGCCAAGGAGCCGGGGCACACCAGATTTATATCGAATAAATAAATGCTAACATGAATGAGTTTCATGCTGTGCACCAACTAGGCTTCATGCACGCAGATTCGGTTGACTAATGTTATTAAAACAATAATGATAAAATAATAGTAAAGAGAATGGGCAAAATATAGAAAGCCTGATGGAGTACTGTGCGGCCAGAGATGGGACTAATGCAAAAGTAGAACAGATACCGTGATGTGGCTGATACCGAGGTCTACATGCAGAAAGCGATAAGCACCAACCAGACTTAGCCATGCCAATGATTGACCAATTTAGATCCTCACAAACGTAGGCGCAATAATGATACGCAACATACGAGGGCTAGCGTTCAGCGCACCCATACACACATATATGGTTGGTGGCATCCGGTTCCGAATTTGCTTGCCGCTGTGGTCTCCACAGAACAGCCACAAGACGCCTGCACCATGGGTGGCTTGCGCTGCACCGGTCACAGATACATCCACACACCACATCTCCAGTGTAAACCCGAAGGAATAAGACCGGTGGGCATGTGGATGGGAGCCACGTTACATTGAAGGAACCGGTCAACAAGCCTCCGACATACACATCAATAGCATTCCTGTGTAATTTGAAAACCATGTGTACCGGAAGTATACAATGTGCCCGATGGATTTGGCCCGTTTTCCGGACTAGCACGTTGAAGTGATGCACCGCGGACGTAGATACGGGACGCTAGAGATTTCCGACCGTGAACCGGTCATGCAATAGCCAGTGTATGTTGCACGCGATTGAGCACAGGAACGCACTTGTCTTTTGTGCTCCCGTGCGGACAGTAAGTTAGCTAGGCAAGGCACATATTCCGCTGCGCTCATGATGGACAAACAAGCCAACTAGCAGTGAACCGTTCACTAGACAGTGGCGGAGTCACGCACTCAATGAGGAATGTAGGACTAGTAAATACTACCGAGACGGTGCGCGTAATCGAGCGCGGATATCAGAAGGCAAGTGAAGTCGGACACAGCGGAATATATTTGATGGGCTACAAAAAGACGTGGACGGATGAAGCGAGACAGGAGCAGAGGAGTGTAAAGCAGGAAGTAGATCAAAATAACCGTTTACCGTCTGTCGGAAAATAAACAAATTTAGTTATTTATTCAAGATTAAACAAGGAAGAATAGTGTATGATTAGTCATCAATGAAATTGTAGACAAAATTTGTAGGTATCGTTTGGGGCGCTACAGAGCCCCCCTAGAAGGCTGAACAAAAGAACCATTCGATGTCGAAAGTGACGGGTGAATCAAAGGCGTTTGGCTAAAATCGTGCCGAGAAAGAATGAGTGAGTGTCAAATGGGGGTTCATAAGAAAGGAGTCCGCTGTGTCGTTTGTTATTTAGTACTTATTGATTGCAGGACAGTGTGCGTTTAGGCGAGCCGTTGGAGCGGACTTGTCGGATTTCAACAAAATCTGGCTAGCCCGGAAATATTGCCGACAGGACCTCAACCTCCGCTGCGGCCAAACGGTGCGCTATAACGACCCTCGTCCCAGGAAGAAAAGATTCGCGTTCGCGTCCCGATCCTCGTCGACTGCGGTGATTCTCGAAAACGTTGCCCGTGAGGGCCAGCAGATGGAAAAGGAGGGTTGGGACATATAGAAACGAGAAAACGTAAAAACGCAGGCAGAATGCCAAAAAAACGAAAGAATGATTTGCGTGCAAAAATGTTTATAATTTTTGATTCGGGATTTTTTAGGTTTTGCGAGTTTTCGATATTTTTGGCTTTTAAAACGTTAATCAACTAAAAACGAGGCAAATATATATAATATTTACAAATCTAAACGTGTGTACACTGTACATGATCGAAAAAACGAACCTGCCTCGGAACGACCCTAGTATGTGACCTAAATCGGTACTCTCTGCAGGAGTGCTACGTGGCTGTAACGTGGCGCGATTATTCGTAGCGTTACATGAAGCGTTCGAATCTGCCATAGGTTCCGTGGCTGCGTAGATGAAAGCTGGTTTGAGACGGTCGACGGTTACGACTTCGTGTCGGCCACCGCGGTCAATATTGTATGTCTTATTCGTACAGGGTAGCACTTTGAAAGGTCCTATGCATGACGACTGAAGAGGCTGGCTAACACCGTATGCGTGGAAGACGTGGGAACACGTAGACATTTTCTCAGGCACGTACACCATTGTCTTCTGCGATCGAAGAGCGGGCGGACGTACCTCATGCATCTGATGAGCCAATCGGTAGACGTAACTACGTAGTCAAAAGTGGAAGTGGACGGCACTGGTGCCACCAGTTGTCCAAGCAAGCGCAGCGTACAGCCGTAGACTAGCTGCGCTGGTGTTACGTCGAAGTTAGTTTTAACACTGTATCTTAGGCCTAGGAGGACGAGAGAAAGTGTTTCAGATCATGTAGGATCTGCGTGCGCACGTAGCGCTGACTTCAACTGGTAGTGAAAACGCTCCACCATGCCGTTAGCACCCAGATGATACGCCGTCGTCTGGACGTAGCTACAGCCTAAATTCTTAAGCAACGTGTCGAAAGGAGACGAGAAATGTGACCCTCAATCTGTGGTCACACCGGCAGGACAGCCGTACTGAACTACCTAGTGCTCTAAAAATGTCTTTTCTACTGTTTCCTTAGAGCAGTTCGGAATTGGAATAGCCTCTGGCTACCTGGTGAATCGGTCGATGCAAGTCAGCAGGTATACCGAACCTTTTGAAAACGGCAGTGGACCTACGAGGTCGACGTACACGTGATGAAAACGTGCGTCTGGCGTCGGAAACGTGCCTAATGAGCTTTTCATGTGCTTTTGAACTTTCGCGCGTTGACACATAAGGCAAGCAGCTGCCCAATTACGAATGTCACGATTGACATTACTCCAAACGAATCGTGCAGTTAAGTTTAACCGATGCACGAACGTCTGGATGAGACAGACCACGAAACGTGTCGAACACGATCTGTCGAAACTCGCGTAGGACAACTGGTCGCGGCGTACCCAAAAATAAATCGCAGAGTATAGTTCTATCTGATGAGGTCAGCGGAACGTGTCGTATGTCCAGTAAGGGGATCAGTGTGGCAGAGCAATCTCAGGGTCATTGAGTTGTGCTGCGGCCATGGCTGCCAGATCGATAGCAGTGCCGGCATCAACCGAGATTGCTTGGATTCGGGTAAGTGCGTCGATGGCAGCGTTGTGCACATCTGAGACATGTCGTATATCGGTCGTAAACTGAGCGATGTAATCTAGGTGGCGGGATTCCCTAGGAGTATCAGTTGGTTGTCGAGCCGAACACGTAAGTCAGGGGTTTGTGGTCGGTGAAGATGGCAAAGGAGCGGCCTCCTAAGACAGGTCGGAAATAACCTACGGCTAAATAGATGGCTAACAGTTCTCTGCCGAAAGTACCGCAACGAGATTCGGCAGGTTGCAGGCGTTTGGAGAAGAACGGCAGCGGTTGCCAAGCGTCACCTACCTTCCGATGTAAGACAGCGCCAACTACCACGTCAGAGGCGTCCGTACTGAGTGACAGTAGATCTGTCGGGTCGTGACGCGCTATAGAAGCTATATTGGCGACGGCTGCTTTTAAAGCTAGGAATGCAGCGCGTGCTGCAGCAGGAAAAGCGAAGTTATTGTGTTTCCGGAGAACGTCCGTGAGGGGCTGTATCAGTGACGCAGTCTGGTATGAACCGTCGGTAAAAAGTAACAAGCCCATCAAAACGGATAAGCTGTTTAAAAGGATGAGGTTCACGGTAGTCGATGATGGTTAGGATTTTAACCTGCAGTCGCATGACGCCTGCAGAGATACGATGGCGGAGAAAACTGACGGAATGGACACCAAACAAACACTATTATGCGTTGATCGTTATCCCGTGTTGGGACAAACGGTCAAAAAGTGCTCGAATCTGGTGCAAGTGCTCTTCACGCGAGGAGTTCGCGATTAGGATGTCGTCGAGATACATGTAGGCGAAGTCTAAACCACTACAAACTTGATCGACGAAGTGTTGAAAAGGTTGTGCGGCATTTTTTTTGGAGCGAACGGCATGCGTAGAAAGTTGAAGAAATCAAATAGGGCTGTCAAGACAGTTTAGCGATGTCCGCTTCGGCTACTGGAATTTGGTTGTATGTGCGTACCAAGTCAATTTTGCCCAAAACTTTCTCATCTGCCAGATTGACGGTGAGATCCACGATATGCAAGATAAGATAGCGATCAGGCGTGGTCGTTCTTTAGGAAACGATAATCGCCACAAGGACGTCAGTTTTCTCGGTCATCGTGGTGGGCCTCAGAGCACACTGCTGCTAAGATAAGATGAGTTTCATTCCCCTGAGAGTTGTTGCTACACGTAATTAGTGAAATTCCCGTTTGACGAATGAAGCATGTCCTACAGTTGCTTGATCACTGAAGGGCAATACAAACTTGACCATAAGATTATGTGCATACGGCAGTCCATACGTGATTCTGAAATCCGGTATTCTGACAATTTCCACTTTCCTGAACAAGCACAATTCGTGGCTAACATGTCACAACCACCTAGTAAGAGGTCACACTAAACGTAACTTGCGACGGGATAACACGTAGTGGCGAACTGGATGTAGCTGTCAGAACTGCCCAGGGTATTCAGCCTGAGCCGAGGGCATGCTAAAAACAAGCACCGGTGATGACTGTAAACAAAACGGGAAGGTAAAAGGAAACAATGAAGGTCGTTTAATCGAGGTTTAACAATCTCATTACCCTATGGATCACTACAATGTCATGCATGGACTTGCTACGTCGTCCTGCCCGGCAGCCTGTAGCGTGTGTAAATGTCTTCATTTTCAACCATATTGTTGCAT